AGAAAAAAAGATTTTGTTAGAGTTAGTTGCTATGACATGGATGTGGAGAAGTATCTCAGTGATGGTTTTTGTTTGTTGGGTTGAAATCAAGGAATGGCATGGTATTATGTTTCCTTTGTTTCTTGTTGCTAAAGATTGGAATAGGAGGTGATGAAGGGGATTAGTTTCATTTTTTATATATACCATTTTGAATTAAAAAAAAAAAAAAAAAAAAAAAATGAAAATCGGGGCAATGATATCTTGGGATAATCTGTTACTTTGGCATTCTGGTGGTTTTATTCTTCAACCTCTAGTCTGTTACTTTTCTAATGGCTGTGCCCCACCCCCGCCCCCCAACAAAATCATAAATAATAAAAGGAAAAAAGGAAACGGAAAAGAAAATTTGATTGTATGTGTATGCATCTGTTCCTCTGATTTGAATACATTAGGAAGGATATATTTTCTTTTGTTATATCAGGAAGCGGCTGAAGTGGAGGAGGAGGAGGAAGAGTCTGAAGAGGAGGTAGAAGACGAACAGGAGGTAAGTAATTTATTTTGCAAGAACATTTTTCTTTTGGTGGATCAGTTGATTCCAGTTGCAGTGTCTTTCTTTTGAAAATTTCATTCTCTAATCGTTGAATCGGTCTTACTGTTGGCAGAAGAAGAAAGGCACTCAGGGAATTATTGAGATTGAGAATCCTAATTTGGCAAAATCAAAGAATGTGAAGGCTAAAGATGCTGATGTAAGTTTTAATGATTAAATTTTATCCTACAGTTTTTCAGTCTTGTTTTCTTAGATGTCAATCTGCATTGAGTAACCAAAATTCTATGTTCCAGATGGGGAGAACAACTGAACTCTCGAGACGTGAAAGGTTTGTACTTCTTCATTCTATTTCAAATCAGTATAAGCTGTTTTTTACTACATCCATAATAAAAAAACTATGTTGTTTACGAGGCAGTAATTGACAGTGGGATAGCTTGCTACATTATTAGAGCTTTTGAAAACGCATCTGGTCCCGTTGTTAGGCTTATATCAGTATGACATGGTTCAGGGCCTTGCTCAGGGTGCTGAGGCAGTGCTAGAAGATTTTTCAGATTTTTCATGTTTGCTTTTTGATTGATACTAGACATAGAAAATGCACTTTTAAGTTTTTAAAATGCATA